GGAAGAATTCACTGGTGAATCCATCCGGATTGTAGTTGTACAAATACAACTAAATGGGCTACTTTAAGGCAAGACAGACCTCTCAAATACACCAAATTTCAACAGAACAATGGGACAAAATCCCATAACAATAATCTCTCTCAATGTCAATGGGCTAAACGCACCAATTAAAAGACATAGAGTGGCAGGATGGATTAGAAAATTGAACCCAACATTCTGCTGCCTGCAAGAAACGCATCTCAATAGTCAAAGCAAACACAGACTCAGAGTCAAAGGCTGGAAAACAATCCTACAGGCAAACAGCTCCCAGAAAAAAGCTGGGGTAGCTATCCTAATATCAGACCACATCGATTTCAGAGTGAAGAAGGTCATAAGAGACAGTGAAGGCCATTTCCTATTGACCAAAGGATCTGTACAACAGGAAGAACTTACAATAATAAATGTATATGCACCTAATGAGAGACCAGCAAAGTACTTAAAACAATTACTCATAGATTTGGAAAAAGACATCGATAGCAACACAATACTAGTGGGAGACCTCAACACCGCTTTGTCACCTCTTGATAGATCAACCAGACTCAAGCTTAGCAAGGACATACTTCATCTGAGGGAAACAATGGAAGAAAGGGGCTTAGTAGATATATACAGGACACTTCATCCACAAAAAGCTCAATACACATTCTTTTCAAGCGTACATGGAACGTTCTCCAAGATAGACCACATGCTGAGCCACAAAACATGCCTCCATAAAATTAAGAAGATAGAGATTATATCAACAATCTTCTCAGACCATAATGCGCTGAAATTAGAAGTAAATCACACACAAAAACAGAAAACTAAATTAAACACATGGAAATTAAACAGTGCGCTATTAAACAACGAGTGGCTTAGACAGGAAATTAAAGAGGAAATCAAAAGATTCCTAGAAACGAATGAAAATGAGGACACGAGTTACCAAAACCTATGGGACACAGCAAAAGCAGTCTTAAGAGGAAAATTTATAGCTCTACAAGCATTCCTCAGGAAGGAGGAGCGAGCCCACATAAATAAACTAACCTCACAGCTTAAGAACTTGGAGAAGGTCTTCTTGAAATTTTTAACCAGAATTGCTTTCTTCATTACTGACCCTTAAAAACTGTACCTCTATTCTTTTTGTTGTTGTTATTGTTGTTGTTGTTTGTTTATTGGTTGGTTGGTTTTTTTTATACATTTTATTTTATACATTTTATTTTTCGAAAGTAGTTCACAATAGTTCATTACAGATAATATTCAAACACCTACCCAAACAGCAAGCATCGTCCCACCACAATAAAAGGGAAGTGTGTGAAGATTGTTGTATTTCATTCTGGGGCCATTTAAGTCCATATGTACAAGAATACGAGCAAGTATGTTAAAACCAACACATGTGTGCTACTTTAGGTACATCAGTGGGCTAGAATATAAGAGTCGCACAGCTACATTCGCTCCAGGAAATTCTGTATCGCTCTCTTTTGGGAGTTTATTTTATAGTCTCTGGATCTTGGCCATTGATGAGATTACATGGCACAGGAAGGGGCGGGGTGGGGGGCAGTTTGTGGATGTGACTGCCAAGCTACTGGAAAACTGGAAACTGGGGATCTGGGTGGAAGAGGTCCAGTTCCGATCCAAGCAGGCTTGGAGATCTCCGCCATGTGTACCTCAATTCTTAAAAATGTACATCTATTTGAAGTAGCTCTTCCTTGGAGGGAGATAAATATTCCTCCCAAGAGAATCAAATGCATTCCACATTTGAGGACCACCGAAATCAAGAAGGACTTCTTTGCCAAAATACATTTTTCCTAGAGACTTCTGATTTAGATGACCATCTCTGTATATGTACTCAAGTCATCTTTACAAATTGTCATCAAACGCAATCAAAGATTTATCAAAATCTCTAGAAGTTTATATCTGTTATAGATATCAGAAAAGAATTTACCCATATGGTATAACTCTTGAGTTTTCTGTACATTGCTGACAAGACTAGACTAAAAGACTGGACAACCAACATAAGATCTTTGGGAGGAATTACGAGCATTTACTCTAACACTTTTTGATGTGAGTGGTTTACCCTTGTGGTCCTGCTTCATGTGGCTTTTCACAGGTTTAGTTAACATCCATAACATTCTTCTTTTTTGATTTTCTTGCCTCCAAATCTTCTTTGTCCATGTGAATATTTCTTTTCCCCCATCTGTATAATTCTGATTTTTTTGTTTTGTTTTGTTTTTTGGGGTCACACCCATAGATGCTCAGGGCTTACTTTTGGCTCTGTACTCAAGAATTACTCCTGGCAGTGCTTGGGGAACCATAGGGGATATTGAATCTGGTGTGATTGTGTGCAAGGCAATCACATTCCCAATGTGCTGTCTCTCCAGCCCCCAGTTTTTTTCTTGCACCTTTTCCCACTGCATGTGCTACCCATTAACGATCTCAGTTCTTTCCTTGGGCTCTGCCATGGTCTTTAAGTTCGTAGCACCCATATTTCCTATACCTTACTGTCTCTGGTTCACCCTGAGCTCCAGTTTCTTATTTCTATCTTGGTATTCCTTTGTTGCTTACAAGCAGCACAGTTTCCTAAGACTATGTAGTTAGATCAGCTTTTTCTGTTAATTTGTCATTGTCTATATCCTCCAGGTGCAGTATGTTTTTTTGTTTTTCTATCTCTTGTAGTTACCAAATTCTAGCAATTGTCTAATCAAAATATCCCTTATATCTATTTGACTGTCACCTGCACTGCCCTTTCTAGTGCTGTATTAGGAATTTGGCTTCGCTCTGTAGCTCTATCAAACTACCTACGTAAATCTGAGTGCCCATTGCTGCCTGACTGAACGTCCTCACATTAAACTCTGAAGGATTCTACCACGACTCAAATGAAGTATGAACTCCTCGGCTTGATTTTCTGCACTCTAACAGCCAATAGCCCTCCTCCAATAAATCATTAAACTTCACTCTATGCCTGAAAGAATGGTGGCATTGTAAATCCAGCCTTGAGCCATGGCACCATGGCTTCCCCTTCAAAGAATTGATAGTCTAGTGAAGATCCAGAGTTTAATAAAAGGCGTAGAGGAAATGATAGAATGGTGGTGTGATTGAAGGGAGTAATTTGTGAGGTCTACTACCGAAGAGAGACTTGGGGTAGTTCATCCTAAAAACTCATATTTAAGACTCCTGTCAGGCAGCAAAAAAAGCCTGGTTTGCTAGAAGCCAGAATGTTCTTGTGATGAGAGAAAAGAGTGGATAGGAGAGAGGTACAAGATACATTTAGTTTGCAGGGGGAAGAGTTTGCATTTTATTTCAAATATATTTAGTATCAAGGAATTTTTCTAAGTAGCAGAGTTACTATGTTCTGTTTACATTAAAAAGTATCTTTCATGAAAGGAGCAAGTTGGAAGCCAGGATACCTGATAGAGAGCCAGTTGTCTGGGCAAAATAATAATTTGGACCAAATTAAATATTTCTCTTTATCAATACTATTAACTTTTTTTGGTTTTGTTTTCATGCCACACCCAGTGGTGCTCGTGGCTTAATTCTGGCTCTGCACTCAGGGATCACTTCTTGCTGATCTGGAGGGACACATGGGGTACCATGGGTCAAACCTGGATTGGCCTCATGCAAGACAATACTATGTCTCCAACCCTGAAAATTTTTGCTGTTGAGAAATGTTCCTCACTCTTTGCAGTGGAGGATAGCTGTATCCGTACTCTTCCAGGAACTTGTCACAGATTTGGGAACCCTTTATATTTTCTGCCTGTGTTATTTGTATCATCTTTCTGATTGCAGGAGTGAGATTTTATAAATGTGTGTGAAGTAGTTTTTATTGAATAAGACTTGCTTAGAAAAATATGATAGGAGAGGAAGAGGGGAAATGTGTTCAGGAGAGAACACAGATTTCTCCTGAGTGGAAATAAGGAAGCAAAAAAGCATAGAGGCAAGCAAGGGAGATATGTGTTCAAGAAAGAGAATAGACTTGCAGAATCTATAATACTTTTTTCCCATATGTTGTGTGATGTTTAATACTGATCTCCAATTAAGTGTCCAGTAACTGTTGAAGTAATCTTTGTATCTGGAGCACCTACCTGACTCATTACTCCTGAGTATTGTAGCATTGTCCTCCCGTTGTTCATCGATTTGCTCGAGTGGGCACCAGTAACATCTCCATTATAAGACTTGTTACTGTTTTGTGTATCTCGAATATGTCAGAGGTAGCTTGCCAGGCTTTGCTGTGCAGACGGGATACTCTCGGTAGCTTACCGGGCTCTCTGAGAGGGAAGAATCGAACCCGGGTTGACTACATGCAAGGCAAATGCCCTATCAGCTGTACTAATTGCTCCAGCCCTGAGTCACTGTCACTGTCACTGTCACTGTCCTCCCGTTCATCGATTTGCTCTAGCGCACCCAGTAACATTGTGAGACTTGTTGTTACTGTGTCTGGCTTATCAAATACATCATGGGTAGCTTGCCAGGATTTGCTGTGCAGGCGAGATACTCTTGCTAGCTTGCCAAGCTCTCCGAGAGGGGCAGAGAAATAGAATGTGGAGGAATCAAACTCGGGTCTGCCAGATTGGCCGCGTGTAAGGCAGACGCCCTACCCACTGTGCTATCGCTCCAGCCCTGAGTATAATTGAGTTAAAGAAAAATTAGTATATTTTTTATAATGAACATAATTTTTACACAGAGATGTTTCCAGAAGCATTGAGAAAAATGGTATTTAAAAATTTGAGGAGGGGCAAAGCAGTAGTAGAGTGGTAGGGTATTTGTCTTGTAGCCATCTTGGGTTCAATCCCTAGCACCCCATACAGTACCCTGAACCTGCCAGGTGTGATCTTTGAGCACAGAGCCAGGACTAAGCTCTGAGGACTGCTGGGTGTGGTCCCAAAACCAAATAAATAAAGAAAGAATTTTAATTGTGTGATCAATTTTTTAAAATAGATTTTGCGGCCTGAAATCTGTGTTGTTAATAAGATGCCTCTGTTTCTGTATTGCAGCTCTCGTTGTCAGTACCACTTCAGCTGGATTTGCATTGGCCTCAGGACCTTTTGACTGGCCCTGTTTTCTGATCACTGTTGTTGGGACGGGCCTTGCATCATGTGCTGCCAACTCCATTAATCAGGTCAGTTTGTCACCGTATTGTACCTTGATCATGGCATTGCTACTTTCCCTTGATTGTGACATTTTAAAAAACTTTTTATATTATATGTATATAAGGAGACATACTTATAAAACTATACACAGAGCTATCAGCAACAGAAGTCTGTTTGCTCACTATATAACAGACCTTTCTTTTGAGGTGAATAGTTTTCAGATTTGTATAAGTCAGAGAACAATAGAGTATCCATTCCAAATGATAAGGATTCCTTGAGTTATAGAATGTTTTAGTGCTAGCAAAGAAAATACTTTTACCCATTCAAGTACACTTCCCTGAGGTTTTATTATTATGTACTTTTTTCCCTTTGGTTTGATCCTTTTGAGTTTTTAAACTACCACTAGGTAACACATTTTAAACAGACATATTCCATTTTTAATTAAAAAAATTAATCATTTTGGAAGCTAGAGAGATAATACATGGGCTAAGATACCTGTCTTGCATACTGCCAGCTCCATCCAGTCCCAGCACAGCATTCAATCCCTCTTTCCCCCCGGCACTGTTAAGAGGAACCCAAACCAAGCTAACCCTGAGCCCTGAGCACTGCTGGTTATGGTGGGGTGGCTCAACTGCCCTGCCCCTTTCAGAATTACTCAGTTCAAACTTACAGATGAAATCATAATACATAAAAAGTAATTAACATTTATTTTTGATGTGTCTCTCCTTTATTAGTTTAAACCTAAAAAAATTATAAAGTTTTTTTCCTCTGCCTGGTCAAGGTGGTATACCCTAACATTATGATTTTTTTCATTAGATACTATAGTGAAAATGTTTTGGCTAAAACTTAAGGAAAGTCATTTTCATCACTAGAACACCCAAGAGGAGTTGGCACAGTTTTAGAACAGGAATTCAGGTTACCAGCAGGAAAACAGCGTGGTTAAGTAGAAATTGAAGTTTGTAGTCTGCGAAATAAGGGAATTTAATTTTATAATGCCTATAGTTTTGTGTTTTTATAGTGTATTATCAGCTCTTTGAGGAGGGTTCAATCTAGTTCACATAAGGTTTGTTTTGTTTTCAGTTTTTATTATCAAAATGGTCTGTTGTAAGAGTCAGATCCACTTTACAAAATAATTGTTCCCTCCTATAATCCATTAGGTCATCTCTTCCATTTTGCTCCTTTCTTTTGCTATCTTCTGCTATTTTTTGGCCAAGAGAATAATAAAATTTGAATAAAAAGCAGTATATGCAAGAGGATATATGTGGGACTGTGTTGGATATACTTTTTGAAAAGAAAGTGTTACCTTTAGTTATAAATCTAGTTCAGCTAGAATTAATTAGAGGTTTAGCTTCTAATTCTGATTAAATAAGAAACATTCTAGTTTTTTTTTATATATTTTTTAAAAATTTTTATTAGTGAAACACCATGAGGTACAGTTGTAGGCTTACAAATTTTTGTGCTTGGGTTTCAGTTATTCAATGATCGAGTACCCATCACTCCACCAGTGCCCATTTTCCACCACCCTGATCCCAGTATCCCTCCTACCCCCCATCTTCCCCATTCCACCCTGCCTCTGTGGCAGGGCATTCCCTTTTGAGAAACATTCTAGTTTTCAAACTCCCTTTTTAAATTGAAAAAAATGTACTTGTCCTTGAATTATTAACTGTTGTCTCCCATTGTCTCCTATTTAAATATATAGACTTAAGTAAAAGATTCAAAATGAAAGCATTTGGAAAAATAACAAATTCATAAACATCAAAATGGTTCGTAATCCCCCAAATGTTAAAAAAAATAATACAGCATACCTTTGTGTTGGGATTTCTCTACTATCTTCTTCTTTCCCAAAATAAAATGGGTATAGAATTCATCTTGGGAAAATAAGCAAACTTTGTAGCCAGAAAGATTAGTCAAATCTTTTAGTCTTAGCTTTTTTGGAGGGGTTTTGCACACCCAACTGTGCTTAGGGCTTACTCTAGATGCGGTGCTCAGGAATCACTCCCGGGGGTGCTCTGGGAACTAGTTGTAGGATTGGGGGTTGAATCTGGTCAGCTATATTTAAGGAAAGAGCTTTAACCCCTGTACTATCTCTCTGGTCCCTAGAAAATATCTGTAAGGTGAGGTGGAGTGGGGTGGAAAAAAGGAATAGTTTTTTAGGCAGAAATTCATAAAAACTGAACATAGGGTTTTAGAAAACTTGAAAGGACTGTGTTTAGATGGCTTCTTGATATTTCACAGTGTGGGAAACATCTATTCTGTATAGGGAGAAAGTTGAGTTCTGAGATTGTAAAACTACTTAGGAAAGCCACAGATGACGGGGTTCTTTCTGGCAGTGGCAGGTTGCAATGGCTGCTTTTCCCATTAATATTTATTAGGCTGGCTTTGTACCCTGTGCTGCCTCTCATTGGACAGTTCTCCTTCCTTCCTTTGGAACACTTTCACCCTCAGGATCATCCCCTAATAGTGCTCCCCACTATTGCGGCTGACGGTGGGCCATAATCAGAGCTTGTTGGACATGTGAAAAATTTCTTTATTTTATATTAAGTAGATTGTTCCATTCTATTCATTCTATCTTAGGCTGTGATTTCATTTGAAAGCATCCTAATACTTAAAAAAAAAGGGGAGGGGGAAGAAAGAAAATCTTAGGTTATATCACATTGTTATTGTGATAGGATATAAATGATGTTAGAATTGTTTTAGTTCTATCATTTTTAGTTAGTCTCAAAATTAAAGAAAAAGTGAGGTGATTTTTATTAATATAAGAGGAAAGCAGATAACTTTGCATCAGGGTTAAACTGATCTTCGAACAGAGAGAATTGAAAAAATAGTCCTTAGCAAAAAGGAAAATTCTGACCTTTTTTCAAGAAGCTGGTTTTCAGTTTAAAAAATGTATATATGTCATTGATACATATAAAATTTAGTTTCTAATAGATTTTCAAAGGAGAAACGTTTTTTCCTATTTAAAAAATAATTCAAATAGCATTTCATATGTTGTTTAATACTTCTAACTATTATTAGTTTACTTCTCAGTACTTCTTTGTGCTGTACTTCTGTGATCTCTGTGTGAAAGTAGGAAAAAAATAGAGATTTGGAAACAATTCTTAGGTTTGTCCTAAGGAGAGCAAATGAAAGTCAGCTTCTGTTTGAAGTAGACACTAGTGTACAAAGAGATATGTACATATGAAAAAACCTCCAATATTCAACTGTAAAAATGAATTGCAGATTTGGTAAAATATATCCATGCTTTGCTTGAAACCATGACTGACTTTAATGGCCATGTGCCTGTACAGGATGAAAGCAATCCATAAAATGTTTTTGATTTAGCAGCTGAGAGATAAAATATTATAGATGGTTTTGACTGATCAGATCTTGAGGAACAAATGACTAAAAGTGAAAAGCTGAATAAATTCAGTTAGAATTAATTAAGAAATGGAAGCTAAAAGTCACCAGAAAATTTCACTGCAGTCATTTTGAAATTTGTCATAATAGATATTATTGCTAGTAAGGTATATGTGGATTTGTTTTCCACATACATGAATTTTTTTTTTAGTTTTGTCTTTATATCATGTTATTTGGGCATGATGGAGAGGGTTGGGCAACACCCAGCTATGCTCAGAGCTTAATTCTGGATCTTTGCTCAGGGAACACTCTGGAGGTACTCAGGGGACCATATATGGTGCTAGGGATAGAATCCAGATTGTTCTATCCAGATTGCGTGCAAGGCAAGCACCTTACCTGTTGCTTAACTTAACCTTGTCCTATCGCTTGGGCCCAGTTTAGTTTATATTTTTACAATTATTATTTCTTGAGGATTAAGATTTATCACTGTATTGAATGAATGTGTCAGGTATACAGTGTTACTGTACTATCCCCACCTTCAGAGAGACAAGATCCCTCCTTCCACCCCATTCCCTGGGCCTTCTTGTCTACCCTTCCCCACCACCATTGAGCATACTAAGTTCTGCAGGTGCTCAGGGTTTGTTTTCACTGAATATTGTATCTTCCCTTATTTTGTTTGTTTCTTTTAAAAAAAAATTATTGGTTTTATAAATAATATAACTTGCAATACTGCAGTACCTTGCCTATAACAAGAGTGTGAGGTATATAGGATTAGTTTAAAAGGGATTTCTCCTACCAGCATAACTCACTGTATTACTGTATCATTGTCATCCTGTGTTCGTCAGTTTAATCGAATGGGCACCAGTAACGTCTCTATTCCTCCCAGCCCTGAGATTTTTAGCAGCCTCTCCTTACTCGTCTTTCCCAACAATTGGAGGCTCTTTCAGGGTGAGGGGAATGAGACCTGTTATCGTTACTGTTTTTGGCATATTGAATACACCATGGGAGCTTGCCTGGCTCTGCCCGTGTGGACGGGATACTCTCGGTAACTTGCCAGGCTCTCTCTATGATTTGTTGCCTACTGTCTGAACCTCATCAAATATGGTGTGGTAATTATGAAAAATGTATAGTAACTGTCTTATGATGTGTCATAAGTGTCTTATGATGTGACCTACGCAACTGCGCAGTCTGAAAAGTGACCTGGAGCGTGGCAGCGGTTGGGTAGTGGAGGTCGGCTGCCGTGGCTGGGTCCCTTGGGGTGGGGAGGGCTCTTACTCGCCCTACTCTGAGATGCCCTGAATGAAAACAGCCTGACAGAGTCCGGTGGCATGGTTATGGGACTTGGTCATGGAGATGGCGCACCGCATCCTGCGTGACCACAGATAATGCCATATAAAAATAAAATCTTCTAGCAACAGACTATGTCTCATAGATGACAACATTGCTGTCCCAAGGCCAACCTTACGTCAAGAAAATGGATAAACGGGAAGAGAAGATAGATATCCCTGATGAATATCAACTAATTATGAACAATGAATGACAGAATGAAAATACCTTTTAGCAACTGTCAGAATAATAATAATTTACACTAGAAATATAACCAGATGCTCATACTAGTGATACATGGGAATGCAGTACATGACAGTTGCATGCTCTCAAAGTGACTCCCCACAAAATAACTTCTACAGAAAAA